GTTTATTTATTTGGACAGTTTAATTTAAAACTTAAGTTAAAACGCTAATTTATATATTAATTACTTATATACTAATTTACGGCCTATCATTAAGTAACACGCTGTATATCTTAAGAAACCAGTTATTATATTAACTTAAATTATGCTTTCCAAGAACAAAAAATAGTCTATTATTTTTAGTCATATACAACGTCTGTCGAACATCCCAGACGTTCCACATTAAATAAGATTAAGCCTTTGCCAAAAACTACAATTTCGTATCAATCATCGAATGGTCAAAAAAATTCTGGGATACCGTATGCACCAAATTTTATCTCAACGGGTTTCACGACGTCTGTCATGGGTGAATCATAGGGGGTTTTCGAGGTTAACCTATTCCATAGAATATTCTTGGTAAACAGTAAAATGGAGGCGTTGAGAGGCTCAAATAAGGCACAGAGGGATTTAAGGGATTACAGCAGGACCGGACAACATTATACCTCCTTACCATTTGTATATTCAACTATATTGAGCATATTTGGGACATCAGTAAATATTATTATAGTAATAATGTGGGAAAGGACAGTACTTCAGCAGAAAAAGCACTAGCTACATGAAAAGGAGCTTTGAAAAAGCAACTCTTGATATTTGGCTGAGAACAGTTCAACACACTGAGAAAACAACACAGGATTGGTGGTATTTGATAGGGAGGATGTGCATCCACTTATTATTAATTTGGAGGATGATGATGATGATGATAACGATAGTGAGGATTCCCTAGAATATTAGCAAGCATTCCATAAAAATCAGCTTAGAGAGAATAAGAAAAGTCCATAACTATCCTGCTCATTACTACCTCTAGTTAGAAAGAACCAACTATATCAATACCAAAATGGAAACATTAAAATTTTATCTTGTTGGTAGTGAACCTGAGCCAAGATATCAGTAACTGCGAAGAAGCGATAATTAAAAAAATATATTATTAAAAAATTGTCCTATTCCGATATTTTTGAATATTTTTTATTAGAATGATTTCGTATATTACAATAAAAATTACAAAACAACATGGCTATTTTTTTTTATTTGGTGTCATGGGCATCAACTTCTAAGATTATTAGCCTCGTGTTATGTGTAGGCTTTGTTACTGTTTCCCAGCGCCACTTTAGGATAACCACTGTTAATTAGAATCCAACAGGGAATGGTCGAGTGGGGAATCCTACCAATTAAATTAAGTTAAAAAAAATCCAGGCCAACGGTGGGATTCGAACCTGGGACCCTTGGATCCGCAGGCAGAGACTCTACCACCGATGAGCCACCCCCCCCCCCCATATGACTATTAATTTTTATTTGATTCTTAAAACACTTTTCTTACTATTGAAAATGTTTTATAGTCAAGATTTTATTGTTCGTTAGACTCGCGTACTTTTTTACATCCATTTCAATCATCAATCAAGTCATAACTTAATTAATAGCACTTTAAAGTTGATAGCACTTATATTAAATTTAAGAAAAACGAAAGAACACATCACAATGTTATCTTTAAGTAAAGGAAAAAAAAATCTACCTGACAACGCCGCAGGTTTTTATCGTATGACGTCACTGCTTTCTTATCGTAAAAACATCATACGTTCTACAACTGCGCCAGTTTTATGGCCGTAAGAAAAATAATATACATAATTCACTGGAAAATGTTTTTCTTTTACTGCATTCTCCGCTACGTATCTTATGCTAAATTTCAATTCATGCAAAGTATACCACTCTCCACACTAGTTATGTAATATATTTATTATTGGGTCTACAAAAGAAGTAATGAAAAATACAAATGGGCGAAATAAACAATATATTTTTGTAAAAGTTTCCTAATAATTTTTCTTCAGATCTTCTGTTATTTTCGGATTTACGGCAAATCGGAAAGTAAAAACTATTAGCTGAATAAGAATCACTAATAAAAATACTATTAAAATTACCAAATAATCTGTCGAAACCACATTAAAAGTCATTTAAGTGAAAACTAAGGAATGTTCATTGTAGACGCTAATAAACTTCAAAAATAGATTTGACTTTGTCTTTAATGAAATTAAGTGATTAAGTACATTCTTTGTAGAAAATATCGAATAATAATTATCAAATCAAAAAACTCATTAAAGTAATATTAGAAACTTGAAAATTGGTCATTAAAAACAATTTAGATTTTAAATTAAATTTGAAAGGAAAGGTACTTGTAGTTTTTATTCGTACTTTTTAAAATTTAATCCCTATAAAAATACTCAAGAAATACTGAACCATTGAGATACAAATATTTTCTACCAATTAAAAAATTTAATACTCATATGCATATTGGGTATATAACAAACAATGCCAATTTCATTTTTGCTGTATTACTCGTGTAGATAAACGTCTTTTTTATGGATGAAAAACATCTTTAAAAAACGTATTTTTAATTTTCTTAATTTTTTAGAGGTAATAGCAAACAAAATTTTAAAAAATAGCTAGTCAGAAAGACATTTTCAATCTTCGCTTGCAGAAGTATAGGTATATTGAATGTAGTCAGATTTTTTATGCCTCTGCATTTTAGAAACCTGGCATAACTTGTTGCTTGTAATGTAAAATTTCATATTCAAAATAGACATACAGTTAATATGCATTTTTCACTTATTCGACACTGTAAATAGTACATTTTTTTTAATTTATTTATTAATTATTTGTAGAGAAAGTAAATAAGATGTATCAAAAAATTTTAGTTTTTAATAAAAACAAAATCTATGTAAAATAAATAATAATGTGCTCAAATTTTTATAAAAATATTTTCGTTGAAGTAATTGTCCATGTTATGGTAATTTTAATATATATTTTTATTCAATTATTTATAAAATGTTATTTTTAAACATTGAAAAACTCCGTCTTTACTTATTGTAATATAAAAAGTAAAAATAAATTTTACGTTATTAATGCATGTTAAAAATACGCATGACCATCGCGAACGGGACGCCTGATGTGGCATTCAAATTTTGAAACTATTGAAGTCACCATTCGAGAGATCTTTAAGGAAGACATATTACATAATATAAAGGGTACAGGAGAAATACTCCCATCAGTAAAAACAGTTAATTTAAAGAAAAACGCATTTGAATGTTTTCCATTTCATGGAGGCTCGAAAAATTAACAAAAAGAAACACAATAACATCGAATTTAATCAGTAACTTAATTTTTAGAACTAAAAAATTTAAAAAAATTTCAAGTACAAGTAACACCAAGAAAAACGCAATTAAATTCTGGAATAAATGTTATTAAATCACTTCTCTCCAGGTATTTCCTCGTCCATCGGGGATCGACACTTTCTTTATTGTAAACATGGTCTGAAGTTAAATATTGGTAAAAAAATCTGTGCCTCTGGACTTTCCAAGAACTGAGATAAATGGAGGGGATCACAATATTTTTCAGCTTTTATTGGAAGTATTCCACTTTACAAATTTTGTAGTGGTTTTACAGGAGTGTAGTATTGAGTTTTCTTTTTGGAGATTTTACTCTGAGGTTTTTTTTTTGAAGGGCTGAAGATCAATACTTCCCAAAAAAGATGGTTTATAAAACACAAATTCTCTTCCAGTTGCTTAAATTTTCAACATTCGAATTGTACTGGTAGGAAATTGGCATTTTTGGGTGTTAAGTGACGAAAGGTGATCAGTATACATCCACTCCACAATCAATTACAGTAAATGGAGTGGGTTTCACTCGAGTATTCCTCAAGACCTCTCTCCAGTCTTCTGAAACGTCTGTGTATGAGTTTTGTTTAACAATGCTTATATTACGATCACACTCTAAGTAAGAGTAGCCCCCTCTTGGAAATATGACCTTAATGGTTTCAAAACGTTCTTCCCTTGTAACCACATGGTGTAAGAACCTAATAAAGGTATAATTCTTATTTTGTCCCGCACACGAGTCACAAAATATACACAGTTCACGTACTTCAAGGGGCAAAATACCTAATATAAAATGCCGAAACATATAGAGCATACATCATCTGCTCCCTTTTTCACCATATAAGTATAGAAAAGTGCCTGCTGAGTTGACAGTATGTGAATGTTAAAACTAATGAAATTTAGTTAGCGTCGGTAATAGACATGATTAGTAATGATATTGGGACATAGTAAGTTTTTTTGAAAGAGCATCGTGATGGCTTTCATCGTTGAAGATTTCATAGAAAGTTTGTGGAATGCTTTTTGTGGTATAATAAAAACGCTCACCCCTCTTTTTGTGTACGTCTCTCTCCCTCTTCCTCTTCGAGGTCCGTAGCAGATTTAAGTTTTCCTCGTTAAAATTGTTGCTTTAAACGAATCGCATGTACTGCACGTGCCCTTACGTGGGTAGCCAAATGAAAAATTAAGATCGTTTTCAAAGATCCCATGAATTGATTCATTGGATAGTTTATGTTCTGGATTGTGAAATCAATACATGGTGTGTAGCTTTGAAATATTCAACTCAGCAGACATGTATATTTTTTGGTGTGTTTCAATGAATAATGTGATTTTCTTTTTTTAAGAGATATCAAGAAACTGACTACCTTTTCCATGGTCTCATGTGCAAGTTTGTGGGGTTTAATGGAATATTTTTCACGACGGTCATTAGGAGATGTACCAGTAGCAAGAAGAGCCCCTCTCATGTAACTAACCTTATCTTCACTGATACAATGTAGCTACTTGAATGCTTTTAAGCAGACCTGAACATAACATGAAACATTGTCTTTTATCACATGAATTCTATATTAAAAGTAAGCTACGTTGTATCTAGGGTCATCATTTCTTGGTCGTCTTTGCTTCACTGGTAACAAAGTGATGAGGCCACTTAAATAAGAGTTTTGTTTATCACTGTCTCCCAACAAATTGTACTCCCGTATAAATTCTTTTACGATCATCTTCTGGAACATTCTGAAAACTTTCAAGACATTTGCAAAAACAATTCGGGCCAAGCTCGTGAGACCCAGCTCGTAACATCCCTGACTCTCCAAGTTTTTTTCCGCTTCTTACTTGTGAGTTCATCACCTTCACTGCTACTGCCTGAGTAGTCACTGTCCATTGTTTTGAAACACACTAACATTAACACATAAGACAATACCAAACAACTAAACGATAAATCAGTGAGATAACAGGAATACAAAGCTAGGTGATTGGAGCGCTATGTTATTGACTTCCGGGGTTGCATATTTACACACTCTCCTATACGACGGCACCAAGGTGCTGAAATTTGTTAGCCTTTGTGGCTACAATTACGCTACAAAAGCTCATTGATTTAGGCACCAATGCATGAGACCTCTCTTATTGCTGGAATCAGTAAGCAAGCTTATCTGCATTCTATGAAACAATGGCTGTACTTAAACAACCGTTAAACAGTCGTGTACTAAAATTCCGTTACTAGACATGATGTCATTCAAATGACGCATTTGAAGTGTTTTGGGATTAAAAAGAAAGAAAATATACAAGAAGAAAACGAAGCAACTACTTCTCATACGGGTGGCGGCTTCGCCGCCACCAAAAAATTTTAACCCATACCTGGCATAGACTCCAACGGCCTGGACATGGCTCAAATTGAAAAGAAAAGTCTCACATAACATAAAATTTGTATGGGTGCCTAAATCAGTGAGCTTTTGTAGCGTACTTGTAGGCTACAAAGGCGAACAGATTTTAGCACTCCGGTGCCGTCATATAGGAGGATGTGTAAATATGCCCCGGAGTTCTTCCATACACGCACAATGACTGACGGGATTTTTCCCCAGTACCGCCTATTTTCAAACAAATGTTTCAGCTGACTTACGTGGTTTAGTACAAAAGATGACTATTAGAAAAGTATACTTCAGCAACCACTAGATGACACCGTTATTCTGTTTCCTTGAAAAACCAACGGGGTTTTTTCCCTGTGCCCTACAAATATACTTGAGTGCATAGAAATCGGCGCACTGTAAACTTTTGACTTTAACTATATTTTTTTTAAATATTATTAAACAACATTACTGTTATTAATTAATTATTAGACAACATTAAAGTATATTAAATTGTCTTTCAAATAGCATATTTTTTTTGATCTGATGAATAATTAAAAAAAAAATAATAGTTAAAGTCAAAAATTTACAGTGGGCCAATTTCTATACACACAAGTGTATTATGAGTCTGTTTTTTATGAGTGTACGGAGAAAGAGCAGGTCCGTAGGCAGGGGAAGGGATATATTACCCCCGACGTAGAAAATTTGAAAAGAGTCTCTAGATTTTTAAAACTTGATTTTTTCGTTTCAGAAACTTAGTTGTTAAAAAAAATTTTGAACTATTAAAAATGTAATCTAAAATATTCCAAAAATCCTCGAAATATTATAAAAATCGTTGAATATATAATAATAAAAATTATTGAATAGTAACAACAAACCATTACACTTTCTATAGTTAATTTGAAAATGAATGATAGTAAAATTTTTATGACCCAGGAGATAAACCCCAATAGAAGAACATCATAAATCAGTGAGGAGAATTTCAAGAATAAAATGTTTAGCATTATTTGTTCCAAAATAAAATCTTTAGTTTTCTTCTTAAAATTTTTAGAAATACTTTATAACTTATTTATTATTATTTATCTAGTGAAAATTAAGATAAGAAAGTATCAATATTTACTTTTTTCTGCTTTGAACAATCCTGTATATAGCAGGCGCGGCTCGTGGCCTAGTCTACGAGGAGGCTACTTTTGAATATATTTTAATACAAATATATGTTTCTATTAGAATGCAATGTAATATTTGTGCTTTAAGTATTCTAATAGAAATATATCGTCGGCGGCTTACTGCCAAAACAAGATAAGTACATTTTTACCATTTTTGCATTAAGTGCATTTGTGTACCCAAGATGGTTATAAAAATACTGCAAAATCCAGATAAGTGTTGGACAATCGAAAACTACTGAAAAATGCAGGCTTGTTTTGGCAATAATTCATTTTGCTCAAAACTGTACGGCTAAAACAAGTTAAGTATACATTTAACGAAAAGTAAGAATATCAGGGAGTTAATTCTTCTGGAAAAACAGGTTAAGTGCCATTTAACTTATTTGGTCATTGAAGTTTAGAAGATTGTTAGAATACCTATGTGTATATACAAAACAGATAAGTGTCAATTATCTCATTTTTGCACTTTATTTTATCGTTACATTAGCATACTTAGAGTACAATTACAAAACCAAATAAGTGTCACTTATCTTTTTTTTTCCCCGAATTCCTAATTTCAGCCAAAATTGTTCTACTAGTTATACATTTGCTAATTATTATTTTTTTATTTTTGGTAATATTTATGTTTATAGTACCACAATCTATGTTATTTTACCACTTAATAAATGTTTTCTTTCATGGAGTTGTTTCAGAGTAGGTTAAAATTTCTAAACTTAATTAATCATAACTAACAAAATGTAACTTATCTTGTTTTGGCATTAAGCCGACGATATACTTGTATTAAGTATATAGGGAGTTCCTTTCAAAAGTAGCCTCCGTAGCCGCCTCTGGTATATAGACCTTTTCCATAAAAACTGTGCTATCATGCAATATAATACTAGTAATAAACAAAATTTTTTGAAAATCGTATGACAATTTGGAACAAGCAACTAAATGTTATATTTGTATTTTGTATATTTTGGAATCAATGGTTCAAATTACATGTGACACTGTTGGCAAATTTTCATTTTTTTTTTTTTGATTTAGAAGGTCATGAACTGGAAAACAATAATTATATTTTAAGTGGTGTATGGTGCATATTGTCTGATTGCTAATAAAATTTGTCATCTAATGGTGAAATGGCCCTCATTAAGTGCTTAAAAACGTTTTATAAATTGAATTTTTATTTGAAGAAGTTACTTTCTAATTAATTTGCCTTATAATCCAAAAAAAAAAAGAAATTGTAAAAAAGTTTGGAAAAAATGAAAATTTTGTAATTCCAAGAAACATAAAAAATACAAGTTTATAACTTAATGGTATTTCCGATAAAATCGGAAGGCGGCGCCTTTTTGTTTAATTGTAATCGTCAATTTAAAATTATGTCTAGTAGGTTTGTCTCAAATTTGATCCAAACAGCTTTATAAATAAAATACATATTAAGGTGGCCCTACTGAATTTAAATTATGAAAAATTACAAAATTCTAAAATGTTTTTAAACATATTCATTTTCGAATATTGTTTCATAAAACAATTTTTTTTGTTATTGAATTTTGGGTCGTTTCTGAAATTAGTTTACTAGCTGATTACCCGCCCGCTCCGCTGGGCACACGTTAAAATTTGATTGTGAAATCTAGAAGTGAAATATGAATAAAAATTTCAGGTAGATAATGCAATTAATATTCAAATTAGAATATAGAGATTGTTTGTAATGAGAGTAATATGAACTTTATCTCATTACTTATATTTTTTTTAAATTTCTCTGTGTAGCCAAAAACTTAGGTATATATTCATTAGCCACAGGTAAATGTGCAATTTTCAATTTTACATTGTGCTTTTTCACCATTCGTGCAATTTCGCTGCGACTATCGTTTTCACAGTAATTTTCCATGCCAAAATAATTGTCTTCATCTGTATCGTCATTCAATTTAAAAGGAAAATACTGTCTTGATTACGAATATCCATCGTTCGATTCGTGAGTAATGGTCCTGATTTCAAAAAAAATCCCATGGAAAAAAGAACTTTTAATTTTCCGGAAATTTTTTAATTTTTCTTTTTCTACAAACCTTATTCGGACTATTACGAACATTTAAAAAGTTAGCCAAATCAAACCAACCGCTTTCAAGTGATGTGCTTACCAACGAATACCATTTAATTTTTATTTATATAGATGAAATTTTATTAAAGAAATTGAAAAATTTCAAAAAATTACGTATTTATTATAAAATTTATGGATTCATTTAAAAAATACGGATAATCTAAAGTAGGAAAAATATGTCAAAACTTCTTGAGTTAATCTGGAAAATATTTTGTAAGAACACCAAAATTTTACATCAAAATCGTATGACAAAATGTATAAACAATTTATAGTTCTTATCGTTTATCTTAGTAGAAAGTTATGCAATAAAATACCCAAATACATATTTTTTTGAAATATCGAAAAAAAATTCAAATTGAATGGGGGTGTATTTTTTCTTTTCGGGAATGAGAAGAAGTAGCATATCCTCGTATTTGATAAAAATATTGAATATCAGCACATACCTGCGTCACAATTACAAAAAATCACAAAAGTCAAAAACACTATCGTGTGAATAGGTCCCGCCATCGCACACTAAATTCTAATTACATGTACACCGTTTCTCTATTTCTAAAAGTGTCTTAACACAAACTGCATAAACTCACAACTCGACTCTAAGAACTCGAAATTAATTTGAAAGTCCTCGACATGCCTTAGGGAACATCATCAGATGGCATTCGGTTTCTGATTGACTTTCCGTCTTTTCGGCACTAGCGAACAAATTTGAGTTTGTTAAGGGCATTCGGCACCGCTGCTATGTTGAATGGCTTTCTTTTAGTTCGTAGAGACGTTTGTCGGTTGTTTGATTGGACATGTGCGACTAATAGGTAATTACAAATTATTAATTGTCGCATTAAGGTTGAATGTTTTGTTGCTTTAAGAATATTCGGCTCATTTATTAATATTGATATAGAAATTTCTGGGTAAAAAAATTATTACGTCAGAAATAATATTTTTATGAGTATCCATATAATAAACATAGGGAAAGAAAGAAAAAGTTGATGTTTTTGCCAACTATTTAGAACGCATCTTCCACTCCAACCCAGGAGAGAAGGTGAAGAAATTAAAATGGATAACCAAGAGAAAGTTAGTGATATAGAGAAAATAATATTAACTAGTCCTAAAGAAGTACAAAGAGAAATAAAAAATAATGTTAATGTAAAAAACCTCTTGGATTCGATCTTATCACGGGAGAGATACCAAAGAAATTACTACGAAAATTCCACACCTGTAATTTTGAACCAATCAGAATACGTGTTTTTGACAGATCACCATGGCAACGGAGGTATTTTAGTGGAAATTTTTTTCTCGTGGGGTACCCAAC